GGCACCGCGCGCAGAACAGATTAGACACATGTAACCAGCAAAATGTTTAAAAGAAAGGGGAGGGGAGGGGAGTCCATTAGACCCCTTGTGTCCGATAATGTAATACGCCTAGTTTCTTGTCAAATGATCCGTTCTATTTACAGCATTATACCCGACGTTAAATCGCTCGACAATTATGAACCATTCCCTCACAAACGTTAGGGATATGGTTGTAGGGTCCCAAAATACCCATTGTATACGCACAAGGGTTAACATATTGAATTGGGTAGATCTAATTCGATATGTTGATTACTGGACTAGCTCTGTGCTATTAAATTTGTGTTTTAATTTCAGTTTACCTTTCGAAATATTAAATCAATGTATTCAATATGTAAAATCTATAAATAAAATCAATATATTATGAAATCAATACATTATGAAATCAATAAAATCGATATATAAAATCATTTTATTCAATATGTAAAATCTATATATAAAATCAATAAATAAATTCAGTTGATTCAATATGTAAAATCTATATATAAAATCAATAAATAAATTCAGCTGATTCAATATGTAAAATCTATATATAAAATCAATATATAAAATCAGTTGATTTAATATGTAAAATCTATAAAATTCAACGAAACCGACAGATGTAGTTTTTAGTCGTCAAATCATTTGAATGCATGTTTTCTATGGGCGTCAGTGTGTATATGTCATCAGAATTTGTATAGTTTATAATGTGTACGTAATAAACTATTGCACTTCCTTTCCTTCTGTCTCAACTATTTAATAAAACGAACCATATCCTCACACGTTTCCGTTATATTTATTGTTTCCGCACATGAGTAACTCTTACTGTGGAAGTATGTCGAATCGTAATCTTAGTCGTAGCCTGCAGTGAGGTCTCGGGTTCAAAATGTGATCTAGAGTAAAAAGTTAAAAATCAAATGTAAAAGAAAAAAATTCTTATTGGAACAGTCACGACGGATCTTTATATAAAATTGAAATTTTTGTGGTGGATTGATCCTTTCGTTTGGAATTAGATCACGCGACAGCTTCTGCATAACACTAGATCAGTTGTTGTTATGTTTAACGTCCGCTTCCACCGAAGGTGATATCGCAGACGAGGTGTCTTATTTTCATTTGTGTTATCTTAGCGCACGCGCACGGGTCTTTGATGTGGGAGAAAACCGGAGTACCCGGAGTAAACTCACGAGGTTGAGAAGGCGCCCAAGACACATACGCTCACACCAGGGATCGAAACCACAAGCGCAAGCCATAGGCGACCGGCCAGCTAGAGGTCAAAGCGTGACACTCTAGACCACTAGGCCACTACACCCCCACCCCCTACCCTAGACCTGAGACGCTTACATTTTTAGGCTGTTTCATCCAGAAAAAAATTCTAAGAATATTAATCTGGATGCGTTGTCAACATTTGAGAATAATAGGCCATTGGCTAGATTATCCGGTCTTTTACATTATCACATGTTCCTCAAGCAACGACCGCAAGTTTTACAACATCTAGTCGTTGCTTCAATACTCGTTGTGTTTACACGTGACTAATTAGCAGTGTCCAATCAGAGGTCGTGGCACATAACACACTGTAAACAAATATGGCGGCCTCCATAGGAAAAGAAATAGACAAGTTTACAGCCTTTGTTGATCAACCATGATTTCCAGCAACCTTGACATTGATCGAACCTTGAACTTTGCAACTCTATTGTCACATGTAGACATTTTAGCTAGAAGCACGAGACTTGATAATCGTAACCATATTTTTAACGAAGGAATCTGATAGGATCACAAGCTGGGCTTATACCCAATCGAAATTAGTGCTAAAATATGAGGGGTATTACGTGAAGGGCTTGATAAGATGTACGTAGTTAAGGCGAGATCAAGCCTTCTATTGAAGATGGAGCAGAACAGTAGGACGTTAAACCCCATTTCATTTCATTTCTATTGAAGATGACATTATCATAAACAAAGTCTACGGGAGGTAACTAGTCCTAAAACAAGATGTCGACGTCGATGAAATTAATTTAAGAGTGCCCTTTCAGAAAATCCATTTAAATGTATTGCCAGTTCAGTGTCCAACGATCTTACTTTTTTTTTGTAAAATTTCTCTCTTCATGGGCCGTATCTATGTTGGTTTTTTTTAAAAATTAATCCTAATTCGTCGTCACGATTCATATTTGTTTATATTAATGCAAGAATTATAGGATTTTTTGCAGGAATTTGCGTAACTCTTATTTGATAATCAACCACATAAAAAAAACGGTTAAGCATGGTTACGCATGGGCAATGGAACATTTTGTCAAATATTGACAACGGACCCAGACCCTCCGTACGTTGAAGACTCTGGGTGACCGAAACTGTCACATTTTATGGCAATAGGTTGATATAGGCGGTTGTTGTAGTCCAACATTTCTGCACCGACTGGGCTATTGAAGACCGGAGTATTGGGCACGATTTTCGATTATACAAAACTCTTGCTGATCAATGAGAGAGGGAGAGAGAGAGAGAGGGAGAGATAGAGAGGGTTAACGCCCACTCGACACAAACTAGGTCATTTCGGGACTAACGCATGGTTCAATTTAATTTCAATCATTCGCTTGCGCATAGGGGTCTTTAGCATTGGGAGGAAACCGGAGGACCCGGAGAAACCCCAACAGGTTGGACAGGCGATCCCACTCTATGTCACGTACAACCGGGGAATCGAAACCACGCCAGTTGACTCAGTGACAGATTTTATGATACAGCGCGCACGCGCTATGACGGTAAGTGATATGTACCTAAACCTATACAATTGCAATGCGGCACCGGTTTACTTATTATGAAAAGAAGTTCTCAAAATAGCGTGGTTCGAAGGGTGTGTAGAATTTTCAGTGCAAAGTTGGCCTTGTTTGAAGACAATCGGATAAACTTGAAAGAAAAACAGCTTCAAACTTTGAAAGCTTTGTCTGATAAAACATTCTTCAAATGCGTCGTCATGGGCAAAGCCGTTGCTAATTCGGGAACTTGAAAGTAGTTCCAATGGCGGACTTTGTCATACGGACACGAACCACCAAATATTCCTACACCCACGAAACAAGGGCCAAAGCTATTTTTAGTCTTCCTCTCACTTTTCCGTTTTCCCCCTTTTGCATGGCGATTTTTGTGGTGTAGAATCGAAGAAAGGGGTTTGAAAATACATTTTCTGCCATGTTTTGGTGAATATTCATAATTTTGATGCGGAAGGATACAAGAGTTGAGAGGTTGGTTAGGTTGAAATATAGGGTTCAAAATTGCCTGTTTACTAGTCTTTACTTCCAGCTGGTGTATCTCAAGTTTTCCATGAAGAACCTCATACGTGCTTTTGGACAAGAGGTTGTCACGTGTTGCTCCATCTGTGGTAGAAGGCGTTCTACCCAACGAAAATTTGGGGAAAAGTTAGAGCCGGTCTAAGATACGAGAATTAACATAAAAGTCAATGGGGAAATCGTTAGTGATCTGTGGCCATACAGCTAGATGGACACAGCTAGTTTCGGTCACTCAGAACCCCCTAGTCTTCACCATACGGAGGGTCTTGGACCGTTGTCAATTTTTGACGAAAAATCCATTGCCCATGCCTAACCGGGGATTTGATTTTTTAACGTGGTTGATTATCCAGTATCTTTGGCCAAATCAAGTAAGAGTTGCACCCCTTTCCGCAGTAAATCCAATATTTCTTGTATTAATATAAACAAACATGAATCGTGAACACGAATTAGGATTAATTTTAAAAAAAAATAACATAGATATGTCCCATGAAGAGAAAAAATTTTACAATAAAAAAAAATTAAAAGTGTTGGATATTGAACTGACAATGCAATCAAATCGATTTTTTGAAATGGCATTCTTAAATTAATTTCTATCTGAATCAAAAATATGTCTATAATGCAATTCTTCGGATGAAGATAACTTCCGCTTTTTCTTCTCTTGCCCATCTTACTCAGCTATTAGAATCGAACAATTAAATTCATTAAAGGTATTCACAGAAACTATTAATCTAGATCTAATTTTAAATGGCTCCACAGATCTTTCGAACACCTCGAATATCTTGATTTCTGAAGCAGTCCATTATTTTATGTGGCCAGATGTAGGGTACTGGAATCTGCTGAGGTTTGCTAAGTGATTAGTTGGTATATGCTTTTAGTCCAAACATATCATCAAATCACATTTTAAATGGAGAGGAATCTCTAAAGTAATATTGTACAAACTTGGTTAATGTCGAGGGAATATGAAAAGTGGGAAGTACATTATTTTTTGGTTAATTGCATACGTTATACTAGGTTTCCACCCCGACAATATCTCTTTTAGATAAGAATTTTTTGTTTTACTTTTGTTTTTCCACCCTTTACTGCCGATCGTAGTAACCTGATACCCCCCCCCCCCCTAGAATAATGCCTGCTTCTGTAAATCTTAATGGATTCCACGTGATGCAATTAACAATTTGTATTTTGTAATTATCGTTATTTCATAGAACTTCTGCATGGGCTAAATCTATTTGTTAAGACCAGCTCAACTTTTGTCAAGGTCGCTGAGATGTAAATAAGGTTAGGTCACGTGATTGTTGGCAAGATTGTAGGTTAGTGTTGGGATTAGCGCTAGATCTATGACCAAAAATGGAGCTGGCCTTATCATTTAGTACTAACCGGATTCTGCATATAAAAGTATGCATTTTTGCTGCAAGGTACGAAACGAAACAAAAAAAAATTAAGAAAAAAAAAAATAATAAAAGAAATGAAATTAAACGAAATGAAATGGGTTTTAAAGTTTCTGTACAAACCCGGCAACTGAAGAGTGTCATTCGCCATGATAAAAATTTTATCTGGAAAACATCGTTGCAGTATACTCTTTATTGAATTATGTGTACGTCAATGTGTACACTATACCCCCGTTTTTCGTCGCTCGACTTGGCACTGTTCCTTGCCTGGCGCCGCCCCCCCCCCCCGCCCGCACCACTAGCAAGAGAAATCTAGACACTACCTCCTGCACCACTAACAAGAAAAAGTCAGACTCTCCCTCCTGCACCACTAACAAGAGAAAGCCAGGCTGGACGATCCAAAGAAACCCTTCCGGTCAACACCGAGTAGAATTGTGGCAAGATATTAGTGACCTTACAAACAACTTTTCTCAAATATAACATTTGAAAACTCTGATTCCAAAATTAGGTGACAACCAAAAAAACATTTATTAACATTACAGATGGATCGTGTAAGAGCTAAAACTGCCTATTGCAGATCTTTTGTGACGGGCTTCAAATGTTAAATAGATTAATACTAAGACATTTATTCGCATGGCAAGCCAATATTCAACTCTCCAGACCATCGGATGGTCGAGATTCAAATGGATTACAATACCCGCGAGATTTAAAAATATAACAATAAAATGGTTAATCGTGACATAATACTTGATCTTGGAATCTGTAACACGTATAGAACTAATCCCTTTCTCTACATAAAATCTCCCTTGTGAGGAATCCACTTGGTTAACAGTGATATTGAATTTAGAAAAGCGAACATGTATAAAACTGTTGACCGTTTCTCCACACACGTCTCCCTTGTGAGGAATCCACTTGGTTAACAGTGATATTGAATATGATGCCATGTTGGAAAAGTGAACACAAATAAAATTGTTGCTCTCTCTCTCTCTTGTGAGGAGTCCAAGTGGTTAACGATGATATTGTATGTGATTTCATTTTAGAAGAGTGTACACATATAAACTTATTGACACCCTTCTCTACACCACGTCTCTCTTGTGAGGAGTCCATATTGTCTTTGTTAACAGTGATATTGAACATGTATAACTCTCTACATCACGTCTCTTAATCATAGTTTTAACAACGATATGAAATGTGGCTCTGTTTTGGAAAAGTGAACAAGGGTATAAACTTGTTGATATCCTTCTCTGCATCAAGTCGCCATCTTGGATTTTGTTGTGCTATTATATTTAAAACACCTATATTTCATGTTGTGACTTTCTTGGGTCTCGTTGTACAATTGTATCTAAAGACACTAACATTTCATGCTTTGACTTTCTTGGGTCTCGCTGTGCAATGGAAACTACAGACACAAACATTTCATGTTATTCTGGAAAAGTGAACGATGGTATAGACTTGTTGCTACCCTTCTCGACATCGAGTCGCCATCTTGGATTTATTTATAGGTGGACAAATAACAGAATGAATCACAAATAACTGTCTGATGATATTTTATTAATATGTTCCAATGGAGCTGGTTTTGTCTTTAATTTATCTTGTCGTTCATTATACCAACCAATGAATAACAATGTTACAAACTCGATTACTTCAATCACCGATAAAACACTAGCTCCTATAAATAACCCCATCTGACCTCCCAAATCACCTGAAATAAATCAATCGATAAATTATATCATCTGGCCTCCCAAATCACCTGAAATAAATCAATCGATAAATTATTCCATCTGACCTTCCAAATCGCCTGAAATAAAACAATCGATAAATATCCCCATATTACCCCCAAAATCAACCGAAACAAATTAATCGATCATATTTCATTAACAAGAACTGTAGCCTATTTACAGGTTTTTGTCAATTCGTTCACATAAACTGGCGAAACGTAAAGCATGGCGTGTATGTGTTCAAAATTTACGATCCAAACATTTTGAAATTTGATAGAATTATTTGTTCTGTCACTATGGGCAACCTTACCAAGGTGTGTATCATATTTACGATTTCCTAAATAGGAATATAACAGGGGAGATAACCACTTGATCAGTATACTTATTAAAGCTTTCACACTGTTCATTGCAAGATTGACTAAGAAATTATAGTTTTACCCTGAACAACTGATTTATAAGTTTTGAAGTTATGTCTGTAAATCTACAGCCATTACAGACATTTAATCAGTGAGTCTCGGGACTAACATATGGTCCAATTTTATTTCAATAATTCGCTTGCGCGTAGAAAATGACGGATCCGGAGAAAACCCACGAGGTTAAACAGGCAATCCCACTTCTTGTCATGTACAACCGGGGAATCGAAAACACGTTAATTGACTCAATGACAGACCTTATGATACAACGCGCACGCGCTAGACATTCGGCCATCCACCCCCTCCCCACCGGTACAAACAAGCTAAATCCACATACATGTAGATACATGGTTATTATCCAGTAACGCATTCTACAGTAGATATCGCTTGTCTCATAACTTCAATATTCTACTAAGTGTAAGAAAGGGTTGGGTGATAAATAAAATCTTCTACTTGTCTTTTTTTTTAAAAAAAAGAAAAAAAGAAATATCAAAACTTGTCAATAAAGTAAAAAGAAAATAAAACGACAGAGCCTCGAATTTTTACATTATCTAAAAATATTCGTAGTAGATTCTCTATTTGTGACAAACTACTTCCACTTCTGTTATATTAGTGAATCCAAATGTTCACTAAATTTGTAAATTGAACCCCGTTTAAAGCGAGAATTTCATATTTTCTAAGAAAGTCAAAACATAATTATTTCTATGTCTTTTGCTCAATAGGTTGTCAACTCACTATTATACGATCATAGGTATCATTCTCACACTTAAAAATCATTCACCCCGGAAATAACAACACAATTACCTCCCTTGTTTTTCTATTCCCCCCATGGGATAGCTATCTTCAAACGTTTGAATTTGAAGTTGAAAATGATATTTTTGCCAATTTCTCAACTGGCAATAGTGAATTATAGGATTAATAGGATTATTCTTTAACAAGGTAGGACTGTTTATAGATACCATCTATTTTAAGGCTTTATTTTAATACATTTTAAAAATATAACTTAAAAATATGAAATTATCGCTTTAAGACGAATATTCCTCTTCCTGAAGATATTAATCAAACTATAAAAACCAACCTAATATAGTTTCTATGGTGATTTCTTCTTTCTGTTCAGTAACTGTAACTGTTAATGTTTCATAATAAATCCTTAAATCTATCACATTATCACTGAAAGATACAGTAACACATGGTTAAAGGGGTTTCACATTATCACTGAAAGATACAATAACACATCGTTAAAGGGGGCTTCACATTATCACTGAAAGATACAATAACACATCGTTAAAGGGGTTCCACATTCTCACTGAAAGATACAATAACACATCGTTAAAGGGGTAACACATTCTCACTGAAAGATACAATAACACATGGTTAAAGGGGTTTCACATTATCACTGAAAGATACAATAACACATCGTTAAAGGGGGTTTCACATTATCACTGAAAGATACAATAACACATCGTTAAAGGGGTTCCACATTCTCACTGAAAGATAAAATAACACACCGTTCAAGGGGTTTCACATTCTCACTGAAAGATTAAATAACACATTTTAAAGGGGTGTCACATTCTCACTCAGAGATAATAAGCACATCATTAAAGATGAAAGATAAAGGTGTTTCACATTATCACTAAAAAAATAAATAAGACTACGGCCTACTCTTATATCGAAATGCAATACTCAAGGGCTCTTTTACGTCCACAATAATGTGTACACGGCAACTCGGTTTTTCGTCCCACCGAACGACTATATGTTTACTAGGAAACATTATTTGAGATGATAAACTACAATTTTCTTTATAATTACAAAAACAGCTATATCTCAACACTGGCTTAATTTAATATATGGACCTAAACTTTTAAAATTAGACAAATAGAAACTCCATAAATCAAATGAAAACATCACACTTTGCTTCTTGTATTTTTTACCCAAATCATGTCTAGTCATATGTAAGAAATGTAGGCCTGCATGAAATAAGAACCACTTCTAGTATATATGTTTACAATAAAGGTTTATATACATATAGGGTATAGTGACTGAGGTATGAACCACTTCTAGTATATATGTTTATACATTGTACAAAAGGTTTATATACATATAGGACTATCTGATAGATATATAGTGATGTTTATATACCTGATGTATGAACCACTTCTATTTTTAAGTATTCCGTTGTTTACCATATAGTCCTTGGTGAATGTAGAAGCAAAATCAGCCACGGATATTGAAGATATATATTTTTCTTTAACACAACGACTAGGACAAGTACAGTTCTTTAATATATCAGATATGTTGGCCACGGCTGAAAATATTAATTATATTTTAGCAAGTGTTCACTTTATTATATTTATAGCAAATATTTAGTTTATTATGTTTATAGCAAATATTCAGTTGATTATATTATAGTACATTTTCAGTCTGCTCTTTGGGTAAGCCGCTGGATCAATAACCATGACGTCCCGGATTTCTCGTGATTTGTCAGTGGTGAAGCAACTCCTGGGTAGTGATCCAGGGCGGAGGGCTTTGGCAGTGGTGCAGGACGAGGACCTTGTGAGTGGTGCAGGTCGAAAGCATTGTCAGTAGTGCAGGCCCCCCTGGCCAGTGGTGCAGGTTGAAAGGCCTGGTCAGTAGTGCACGACTTCCTGTTTAGTGGTGCAGGGCGAAGGACCTTGTAATTGGTGCAGGACCTAGGATCTCGCCAGTAATGCAGGACGTCCTGGTTAGTGAGTCAGCGACTTATTAACCGAACCACCGCGGTTTTAATTCTACGAATATTAGTCTGGATGGGCTGTCAATATTTATGTTCAGGTATAGTAGACATGGTATTTACCTTTATAAGGAATGTAACAATCTGTTAATGTTCTTAAAGAACAATATTCTTCTTCACCTGTAGAAAGATAAATCACAGAAAGGAGGACCATGGTTAGACAAACATTATAATCACTATATGATGAACCAAACTGAAGTCCGTTCGAGATGCAATGTCCCGTCAGCAAAACATTTCGTTCATTTTGAGACATGTATGGTAATTTTGCGAGACATGTATGGTAATTTTGCGAGACATATATGGTCATTTTGCGAGACATGTATGGTTATTTTGCGAGACATGTATGATTATTTTCATTACTATGGTTACGTGTGTAATTATACTGTAGACAGTATTTACTTGTCGGACTTTTAGATCCAGGCTACTCTTTTTCACCGAACATCTAGACAGACCATACTAGTCGGTTTTGTAGATCCAGACTTTTATGCCACGACCGAATTTGAACTCGGGGATTCTAGTTCAGTTTACTGATTACTCGAATACATCGCCAACTCAACCCATCCGTTCATTTTTGACGCAGCGTCCTGCTTTGTCTGCACCAGAGGCGGATTCAAGGGGGAGCGCGAGGGCCCCCCCCCCCCTAATTTTCGACAGTGCCCTTTTTTACTGCTGAAAGTGCCTTTTCTCAGACCCAAATATGTCCGTTCCCAACCCGTTGCAGGGATCCCAAATGACTCAAACCATCGATTCAAACACACCAGTCTGGTCTAATTAATGCTTCCACTTTCAAACGAATTCTTGTTGTTTAGCTGACGGTGCCCTAATCCTATAGAGTGACTATAGACAGGCATCTTGTGGAATCGGCGGCGTATACACTCATGTCCATCACCGACGCGCATGAGTGCAACTTGATGTAGCATTGTTTCATGTGTGGACAGTACCAAGTACAAGTTACATGGCTTAAATAGTGAAGTGGCTAGGGAATAGATTCGTCTTTTTTCCCATCATAATGCCTCGCTCGCCCTTGACAATTTTCGAGCCGCATGTTCAACTGGCTTTTTTGCTCGATTTTAAGGCTCTTTTTCAACAATTTCCGAACGTTTACTTAGACGAAAATATCAGCCAAATAGCTCTTGGAATGGCTACAGATGCAAGGAAATGACGGATAATGTGTTTTGGGGAATGGGTGGGGGGGGGGTGGCCGAATGGTTATATAGAGCGTACGCATTGTATCATAAGTTCTGTCATTGAGTCAACTGGCGTTGTTTCGATTCCCCAGTTGTACGTGACATCGAGTAGTGTGGCTTGTCCAACCTCGCGGATTTTCTCCGGGTCCTCCGGTTTCCCCCACACTGCTAAAGACATTTGGCAGTCATTGCGTCAAATGGCGGTTTCGATTCGTTGTACGTGTAAAGGACTAGGGTTTTCTCCAGTTCCCCTGGTTTGCTCCCACTGCTAAAGAACCCTACGCGCAAGCGAATTGTTGAAATTAAACTGAACCATATGTTAGTCCCAAAATGACGTAGTCTCTCTCTCTCTCTCTCTCTCTCTCTCCAAAGTTGAACTATTTGACACCCTATCTTACCTTTATCAAATAAACTACAGCAATTACAATGTTTGACGTAATCATCCGTTAAACAGTTCATTGCGCATGTCTGTCGTGTATAAATATAATCTTTGTATCTGTGTAATGGCGTCTTGAAACCAGGTTCATGTGACGTCACACAATATTCAGATCCAAAAGCTTTATACGGTTTACTCAATCCGTCAATCTAAAGAGATAAATAATAAAGTATTTGCTGAGTTATAACTAGATACAAGCTGTTATTATCATCTGAGTAGCCTATAAATAGATAGTTGTTATTATCATCTGAGTAACCTATAACTAGATAGTTGTTATTATCATCTGAGTAACCTATAACTAGATAGTTGTTATTATCATCTGAGTAGCCTATAACTAGATAGATGTAATTATCATCTGAGTAACCTATAAGTAAACTAGATACAAGCTGTTAGTATCATGTTGTGTTTTGGGTGGCCTATAAAAAGACCAAGAGTTCAACCCTAGGCCTACTACAAGGTACCTCTGATTTGATTGAATAACTTTGAGTGTTGATATGACGTAACAATTCCAAGAGGGCGCCGATGACGTCACAAATATATGTTGTAAACATTAGTATACAATAAAACAAAGAATCTCAACAGGAGTAAATTGACAACGGGGCCATGAATTTCGCCTACCCAGGGGATAAATAGACTGATTCTGGGTTTTGGATTTATACATCATGTTGCAATTTATAAAAATCCGGAATTGAGAAGAAATTAAGTCAAATAACAGAGGTAACAATTTTGCTTTACGTGTGTTAGACATTTTATACATTTGTAAATAAGTCAGGTAACAATTTTGCTTTACGTTTGTAAAACATTTTAAATATTTGTAAAACACTAACTCTTTCTTTTTTGATGGTGACGGCAGTTGACGAACCTGGTCGTGCAACAAATCCACTTGATGTCAACATGGCGGCGGAACCTGGTTCATGTAATAAAACCTGGAATATACAATCATCACCGTCATCACCATCATCATCATCGTCATCAATATCATCATCACATCATCAGAGAGAGAGAGAGAGAGAGAGAGAGAGAGAGATAGGGAGAGAGAGAGGGTGGGGAGAGACCCCCCCCCACACACACACACATACACACAGACAGAGAGAGACAGACAGAGAGCCTTTAACTTGATAAGAAAATATAATAATAAATATAACTCCATGTAGCTGTAGGAAATTACTACCACGCGATGTGATTAGATGAATGCCATTCTATTACTAACGCAACTGTGTTGAATTACTGGGAAGAAATTAGCACCACGGGAGGTTTCGTAAACATTTACAGAATAACATGATACCAGGTGTTTTCTAGAAGCCGTAATTTCTTATTGTATGGAATACACTTATTGCTATAGCCAGTACTAGGGTTCTCTTTGTTGTTTGACGTAACGACAAGGGATCTTTTTATCATCGCTTGACGTTACGTCTAGGGGTCTCTTTATCATTGCTTGGCGTTACGACTAGGGTTCTCTTTGTCGTTGTTTGACGTTACGACTAGGGATCTCTTTATCATCGTTTGGCCTTATGTCTAGGGATCTCATTACCATTGCTTGACGTTACGTCTAGGGATCTCTTTACCATTGCTTGATGTTACGACTAGGGATCTCTTTATCATTGCTTGACGTTACGACTAGGGATCTCTTTATCATTGCTTGACGTTACGACTAGGGATCGCTTTATCATTGTTTGATATTACAACTAGGGATCTCTTTATCATAGCTTGACGTTACGTCTAGGGTTCCCTTTGTCATCCCTTGACGCTACGACTAAGGAGCTCTTTATCGTTGCTTGACGCTACAAATAGGGTTCTCTTTATCATTGTTTGACGTTACGTCTAGGGATCTCTTTATCATAGCTTGACGTTACGTCTAGGATTCTCTTTATCATCGCTTGACGTTAGTTCTAGGGATCTCTTTATCGTTGCTTGACGTTACAAATACTGGGTTCTCTTTATCATTATTTGACGTTACGTCTAGGGATCTCTTTATCATTGCTTGGCGTTACGACTAGGGTTATCTTTGTCGTTGTTTGACGTTACCACTAGGGGGATCTCTTTATCATCGTTTGGCGTTATGAATAGGGATCTCTTTATCATTGTTTGACGTTACGACTAGGATTATATTTATCATTGTTTGGCGAGTTCTCTAGTATTGGTTATTGTTTGATAAAAACTTCAGTAACAAACAGTTATTGTTCTCCACAGAATTCAGACCTGTATATTTCAATTTCAACTATTAAATGCAAATGCGATGCACTGAAGCAATTTATAAAATAACGTAGACCTTAGAATAGAGTAGACAGATTAAAGTTTTAGCAAGCCGGGGATTAAACTGTATATTCTCTGTTGTAATCCATTTAAACAGTTTATGAAATACGTAGACAGTCAAAATGAGAATTAATGTCTAACCATGTCGGGGTATAACGTACACGATTTGTAGACTTGATAATAATTTAAACTTTAATTCCTGCCAGAGATATTCGTAGACTTGATAATACAAACCTTAATTCCTGCCAGAGATATTTGTAGACTTGATAATACAAACCTTAATCCCTGCCAGAGATATTTGTAATAATACAAACCTTAATCCCTGCCAAAGATATCTGAGAGAAATAATATTCCGGTTGTTGAATATCTACAATAACCCTTAGTCCACTCATAGAACCTGATCCATATGACGTCATTGGTGACGATCTGTTGGAATTAAAGGTATAACACACACCCATATCGGTGATAACTGTCTCAAAATATTTAGAACAATCAACAATAGCACCTGCCCATATACACACAATAAACATGTCCTCCATTTTATGGGCGGCGTTTAGCGCAAATTTGTATAAATTTTTACCCATATGAGCTTCGGGATCAGAGATGAAAGAAAATTCTGGTGAGCTCCATGCAAAATGCTGCTCAAAGTATTCGCTTAAAACGGACATCTCGCTCATTTTAAAAATAAGGTCTTTGATTTCCCAGTCGTCATTGGGTATTTTATGTTGACGGAATTGGTTGGCGTTACAGATAGTAACTGCTGGAAACTGCATTTCGTGGTTAAACTCCAGTCGTGTATTCGTAATGATAGGATATTCATAATATCTTGTAAACGATTTATACAGGAAAATGACCAAACCAGTGGTCATCACTAGCAACATTATTGTCCACAAATATCTGAAAACAAATAAATATAATTAAGCAAAGATAAAGTAAAGCAAAACTTTATAATGTCTAAAGCACAATAAAATGTACATAAAAGAGAGAGATGGGGTTTAACGTCCACTCGACACAAACTAGGTCATTTCGGGACTAACATGGTTTAATTTTATTTCAATAATTCGCTTGTGTGTAGGTGTCTTAAGCAGTGGGAGGAAACCGGAGGACCCGAAGAAAACCCACGAGGTTGGACAGGCGACCCTACTCCGTGTCACGTACAACCGTGGATTGGAAACCACGCCAGGTGACTCAATGACAGGCCTTATGATACAGCAGAGAGAGGGGGGAATAACATACAGTTCAATTCCTTTGCGCGTAGTGGTCTTTAGGTTGGGCAGGCGACACCACTTCTTGTCACGTTCAAGCGGGGAATCAAATCCACGCCAGTTCACTCACAGGCAAAGTACTAAGATATGTTTAAATAATAATATAAATGAGATATAAGAACTTGTGAGAGAATATTGTTGTCAAAATGTCGTCTTTGAATTCTATAATAATCTTCTGTAATGTATGGGTTTATAAAGTGAAGACATTCTAACATATCGGATAAACCGGTTATACAGGTATCTCGAGTTGCATTCAGACAGGTACTAGCGCAGTCTTCAACCCATATTCTACGTACACATATTTTCACATACTCAAGCGTGAAATATACATGTTATCTCCTCGCATTACAAGGATCCCAAAATCACCCACACACCGCCAGTACTTTTATTACTTAATTTATTGGGACCTGGTAATCTCACCTTCAGTGACGGTTGACCACTATATCCAAACGTTCAACAGACATGTTTGAAATATACCATGGCAACAAGAGTTACGTAGTCCTGATTTGACAAAGGTGGGGGAGCAATGGATACCGTGTTCTAAATTGTTTGACATATTAGGACTAAAATATAAATTACTTTTTAAGGTGATATGTACGTGTGCTCAGTTTTATCATAATCCAATCAAAACCCACGATTTGTTGTCTCGGGTGATTGTGCCGTGTTTCTTGGTCGGCTAGATCTATTTCTAAAGGCCGGCTCAAGATTTCTTCAAGGTCGCTGAGATGTAAATAAGGTTGGGGCGCGTGATTGTTGGCGAGATTGTAGGTTAGGGTTGGGCTAGATCCAGGGTTAGATTTAAGAATTTGGGGGAGAGGTTACGTCTCCACATAAGCCCTGACCTCGGATGATGAAAATTTGGTTCGTGATATTTCCTAGTTTTGTTTATTAAAAATACATGCAATACATTAGATAATCCCTGTCTGCATCTCGTGACCTTTGACCAAACTTGAAGTGGCCAGAAAGGAAAAAGACGTCTATATCATGAACTTACCGTCTAAAAGAATACAGCTGAGGAGACAATATTTTAGGTACACCATGGATGGTTGCTGATCCTTCATACATGTGTAACATTTGTGATCTTCCTAGCCGACATTTTTTACATTCTCTCGCCTTCTCTTTCCTACCACTTTCTTTTTCCTCCATGTTTACAGACAATTTGTAAATCTATCTAACCATACACAGCCTGAATATAAAATAGATGGAGCTAGACTTGATTCATAAAACCTTTCAACTGAAAGTATCAAATACAGGGGTGGATTATCTGTTTTCTAGCGGGTAGAGGAGATCGGATGGGTTGTGGAGGAGTTCATGTCGATTGTGGAGAATAGTGGGATTGGTTGGAGTTCATTATTACATGTTGAGGAGACCAGACCAATTGAGGAAATTAGACGGTTGGGGAGGTCAGGCCTGCTGGTCTGGTAGACTATATCAGGCCAGAATCCATGTCGGTCCGGGGGTGAGAGAGGTTTGGTGTCAGACCGGGTGTGGAGGTCATGTCTATACAGACAATACAGACAATTCTTCTATAATCACTGGATGGCCAGAGGATAGATTCACAGAGAGAGAGAGAGAGAGAGAGAGAGAGGTGGGGGGATGTCCACTCGATACTAGGGGACCCGGAGAAAACACTCGAGATTGAACAGGCGGCGCTACTACTTGGCATGTATACGCAGGGAATTTAAAATGTGTAAGCGTTGTCGGTCGTGTAAGAAGGGGGATAATAGTATTAACTAGCATATAGGGGGAGACTTATGGACGCCTATAACTACCATTCATAATTTTTACTTTTCGCCTCTTCACAACGCGAAAGTAGAAAAGTCGAAAATTAGAAGTTACGACAAAATGTGAGGCGACAACACGCTATACAAGCCAAAATCAACTCGAAAATAGGAAATTAAGAAATAACACACAACGATAATAGCGCCCCTCGTTTTTTCCTAATTTCTACTTTTCGACTTGCATTTTGGCTTGTATATCGACTTTCGACTTAGTCATATTATGCAGTTACAACAAGAGTGGTATTGAGCTTTTAAATAGATAATAAATAAGAATGGTTTACATACCGAATGAAGACAATTGTTGTGATGTCTTTTGCAGTTTTTAATCGAACTGCATAATTTTCCAAAACACTTCAGTTCCCTGAGAGCTATATGTATGCGATGAAAATTGATCTAAATTTTTATCATACGATCGAGCCATCTCCGTTTGGCTGATAACATTATTGGACTTCTTCCAAATAACACTAAGAAGAATTAACTGAAGACTAAAAATGCAACGCAAAAAACATCTGTGATGTATGGAGCGCCATTAAGGCCATATATATATTAAAAAAATCACTATAAGAATTAACTAAAGACAGATTATGTACCGAAAAAAACCATCTGTGATGTATGGAGCGCCGTTAAGACAATATATAAAACATATATTGTATTTTTGAAATGCCGATAAGGGATGTATAAAGATATTATCGCGAAGCCCCCGTGCTTCGAAGCCATGGAATTGAATGACAGTGCAGTGTGGAGATAGGGTGAAATGACGGTGTTGTGTGAAGATGCGATCAAATGACGGCGCAATGTAAAACTACGGTGAAATGATGTGGTCAACATGATGTGAAGATGAGGTGAATGATAGTACGATGTGAAGTGATGTGGTGTACTGATGATGCGATGTGGAGATGTAGAGACATTATGACGCGATGTGAAGATTTTGTGAAGTGATGGTGCGATGTGAAATGATGTTGCGATGTGAAGTGATGGTGCTGTGTGAAGTGATGGTACGATGCGAAGATGTGGTGACGTGAACGTGCGAAGTGAAATGATGGGGCGATGCGAAATGATGGTGCAGTGTGAAGTGAAGTGATGGTACGATGAGAAGATGTGGTGTACGCATGGCACGATGTATGTTCCTGAAGCAACGACTGCGAGTTTTGCAACAAATTGACGTTGCTAGATTACTTTACAATTCCCAAACTTATAGCTACGTTATCAGCAGGCACGAGAACAGTGGCATCCAATCAGGGGTTGTGGCATAGCGACCTCCACGGAAACCTTGACATTGAACGAACCTTGAACTTTGCAACTCGGTTATCACAGGTAGACATTTTAGCTGGAAAGCGCGAGACTTGGCATTCCAGTGGTCGAGGAATCTGATAGACTCTCAAGCTGAGTGAATACCCAATCGACATTAGGACCGAAATATGCAGGTTATTACGAAAAAGGCCTTGATATGATGTGAGGAGGTGAGGAACTGATGGTGCCGTGTGAAGACGCGGTGACATGACGTGCGATGTGACGATGCGAAAAGTGATGGTGCGATGTGACAATGTGATGTACTGACGGTGCGATGTGACAATGTGAAGTACTAACGGTGTGCTGTGACGATGAGGTGTACTCTTCGGCGTGTGTGCAAAAGACAACTAATGAAAGAGGGATATTCGTTGGAGATTACGCAAAAAGCCGTTATCTGATTAACACTTATTCATGCGACACTGCATGGCGTATAAGGGGGTTGGGTGGCCGAATGGTTAGCACGCGCGCCCTGTATCATAAGATCTGTCATTGATTCAACTGGCGTGGTTTCGATACCCCGGTTATATACGTGACAAGGAGTAGGATCGCCTGTCCAATGGGTTTTCTCTGGGTCCTCCGGTTTCCCCCCCCACGGCGAAAGACCCCTATGCGCATGCGAATTATGTAAATAAAATTGAGGCATATGTTAGTCCCGAAATGACCTAGTTTGTGTTGAGTGGACGTTAAACCCATCTCTCTCTCTCTCTCTCATGGCGTATACCCGTCTTCATTATCCCCACTGGTGCACAAAGGTCGCACGTTAAACCTAACAAGCTATTGCATTTCTACACTTTGATTTACACACACTAAACCCATATCTATATGAATGGATACCCCGTAGAGATTCTACTAGTCTGATAGTGGTGAGGAAATAGCTAGAGTAAATATAATAGCGTGTTGTTACTGTGTATCATTATATATTTATTAACACTTAACATACATCCTCAGGTGTAATACCACATGTTCAACATGTTTTTATTATGATAGATATTCCACACAAACTGAAGACATAACTCACGAAATTCTTCTTGTCGAATAGGGGCACCTGTCCAACCTCGTGGGTTTTCTCTGAGTCTTCCGGTTTCCTCCCACTGGTAAAGATCCCTGCAAAGAGAATTATTGAAATAAAATTGAACCATATATTAGTCCCAAAATGACATAATTTGTGTCGATTGGACGCTAAACTGCATTTATCTCTCTCTCTCTCTCCCTCCCTCCCCCCCTCTCTCTCTCTCTCTCTCTCTCTCTTCTAATGTCGTCTTTTCGCCCTAAATTTCGACGGGGCATAGACGTGAAATTATAGACGTGACGGGGCTGGAACAGGAAGATAACGCCCATTTTAGCTTTACTTGATTGTATGTATTACGGCAGATTATCGGCATTAAGGGTAGAGTCGGGATTTTACGTTCATTTGTCGACATACAAATTTAAAAACCATAATCTTTCATACGAAAAATCGAATCGCACAAATCTTGTCCCACCCATTATTCAAGATCAAACGAATTAAATATTTTACTTTCCTCTTAATTCAGAGAGGGTTAATTGCTTTAAGAATGTCTCAGGAGGGATCAGATGGCCGAATGGTTAGCACGTGCGCGCTGTATCATAAGGTCTGTTATTGAGTCAACTGGCATGGTGTCGATTACCCGGTTATACGTGACAAGGAGTAGGGTCGGCTGTCCATCCTTGTGGGTTTTCTTCGGGGCCTCCGGTTTTCTCCAACCCTCTCCCCCTCTCTCTATCTCTCTCTCTATCTCTCTCTCTGGTTTGAATTTGTTTACCTTAACCTTAAATTAACTTGGTATAGTCGGTAATTATGTTTATTTATCAAACGTCTGCATAGGAAGTGAAAGTCAGGTCGTGAATTGATTCTGGTTCAAAAGAAAAATCAAATACAAACAAGCGCTTGTCATGCAAGATATGCCCACAGTTTGCAACAAATGAATGGGGAACAGAAAATCAATAGGATTCATCCTCTCATTGTTACAGGATGTGACTGTCCGATACATGCCAATATCGACAGAAACCGGGATCTTTGGCATATAAACATATGTTTTAATTTTCCACAAAATCGAACCATATTTGTGACCTCTAGAGGGTTAACAGTCTTTGTATTAAATACTTTGCGATATTTGCGTAAAGGGGAGTCATTTTTCACAAAATTGGAATTCAACTGGAATTCTGGTGTAACGTGACACATAGGAACGTTTTGTTTTTTTAAATATCAAACAAGCCAACAGTGAGGCTGATGTCCCCCACCGAAATCCCAAAATAAATAGATGAAACATATTAATTAGTCGCACATTTAGTTTTTTTTAAAAAAAGTATCGAGCAATCAAACTATACACTCTCTAAGATTATCTTGTCCCAAAGCATTGACTAATGAATCTGATGATTAGCTCTACTTAGCTTCAGTTTGAAATGTTAATCATTGAACTCAGTCAAGACATCCACCCAATGAACATCTATAGTTTAAACATCCTACCTCAATCAAAAACAGAGTTGTTATGTTCCAAAGTCTTGACCAATCAAATTGCTTATCCCTTCTTAGCCTAAACAGAAAATTCTCACCATCGAACTTAGTCAAGGTAATGATATAATGAATCTATATGCTGAGTTTCATCGCTCTCACTTCATTATAACCAAAGTTATCGCGACCCAAAGCATCAACCAATCATATTGCGTACAACCTCAATTAGAAGGAAAGTTATCGTGTTCCAAAGTCTCGACCATTAAATTGCTTATCGCTCTGCTTACATGAGCAGAAAATGCTCATTATCGAACTAAGTCAGGGTATTGGTGTAATGAAACTATACACCAAGTTTCATCACTCTCATTTAATTAGAACCAAAGTTATCGTGTCCCAAAGCATTAACCAATCAAATCAGTACCTAATAAGTACCTACACCAAGTTTGAATATTCTAGCTCAATTAGAAAGAGAGTTATAGTGTCTCAAAAAGTGTGACAGACAGACGGATGGACAGAAAGACGGGCGGACGAACGAATCCATTTAAATAGTCCCCTGCTTCCTTCGAAAGGCGGGGGACAATAACAATTGGGACCTTTAGAGAATCCACAATCCAATATAAAGGAGCCTTGATCTTTGGATATAAAAATATGAATAGTCCCAATGGAACCCAGTTAATGGCGCCATCTGGTAGCAAATTGTATAAGCTTTCTGTGGAACACTCAATTTCAGGTAAAACTGATCGGAGTTACATCGAACCAAGGCCCTTCGGAAATGGCCTCCCGGACATATACGTCCATCATATCCTTTATTTGACCTTAATTTGGCTGAAAAATGGAAGTCAGTTGTTGTACTGGTAATTATGATTCGTATTAAACCCGCTCGTTGTTCTGTTCGCATCAAGCATTCTCGCCCAAAAGTCTGTTTTGCCTTTTATACGAAAAGACAAAAATGTGACTTAGATCATTCTTCCCCTGGACTATTCATATATTTTAAGTTTCACTAAAATCGGATAAACGGTCCACACGCTACTAACTCGTACAAACCATAACGTTACGGTCCGCTACATTCCAATGTAGACAGGAACCGAGGTCTTTGGTACAAGTCAATACCATTCCTTTATTTTTTTTAAGTCTACTGACTCATCAAATAACATATATACACAAATATTATAGTTAATTACAAACAATATATCCCTAGCACGCAGATACAAACAGACAAAGGTATGGGAGTAGGGTGTAGATAAATTGTGTCCACTCGACACAAACTAGGTCATTTCGGGACTAACATATGGTTTTTAATTTTATTTCAATAATTCGCTTGCGCGTAGGGTTCTTTAGCAGTGGGAGGAAACCGGATGTAACAGTCAAATCAAAGGGGAAGGGGGGGGGGTTACATTTTAGGTAATTTAATTACTATTTAATAGAGTGGTTCTTTTCTTATCTGCAGAAATGAGAAATTTGGCTAGGTTCCGTATTTCGGATGTTGAAGTAATACTTAATAATTGAATTAATTTAAACATACTAGGTTTTCGTAAAAAGTATGGTTTGATAAATTGGTGACGCAATTCATTATAACAAGGGTAGCTTAAAATAAAATGAAATTCGTCTTCTATATCGTTCAGGTTACAAAGTGTGCATTTTCTTTCACTACGTTCTATTTTATTG